GAGAATCCCTGAGCCAGAATTGTCTGGGTTCAGTGCGGCTAGGCTAATATTTTTTAAAAATATTTTTTTTAAAAATGCCTTTTTAATTTTTTTTTTTTTTACTGCTTGTGACTTTATTTTTCTAGCTTGCTATTCCTGTCCGCCCCAATGTCAGAGTAAAATATTTGGGAAAATGAATCAGCAGCGTTCTTGATGGCTGTTCACACGCTCCAAAACTTGAAGATTTCCTGGGCTAAAGGAAAAAACATTTCTACCCCCCTCAGGCCAAATCCCAAACTCCTCTCCAACCTCGGAATTGTCTCACAAAGGAATCTTGCTAAATTTATTCATGGGGGGGGGAACGGGAGAGAAGACACCAGACACTTTATGAAGCCATGTTTTTCGTCCTGGGTCCGTCCCCATGCAAGGCGCCCTCTTAGACGGAGCTGCAGAAGGCTGCCCAGCGGGGTCAACCCAGGAATCCCTGCCCAGCAGTGGGGGAGGGCTGCCATCTGCTGGTCACCTTCCTCACCCCCCAGGCCCCCTCCTGGCTTCTCTGGGGCTTCCTTCCCTCCCTCCCTCCCGGCCTCCCAGAGCTTGGGCAGGGCTGTCAGTTGGGAAACAGAGAGCAGCAAGGTGCACCTGGCTGGCTGTAGTTACCTTTCCCAGGTGACCCCACCTGACTTCCTCCACTGCTTCAGGAGGGGGCTGTGAGGTCCTCCACTGTGCCTCCGTCTCTTATGCCTAGAAATCTCATCCCTGAGGAATTAAGGAACAGACTGCCAGGCAGAGAGGAGCCCTCTGGATTGCTCAGTTCCAGCCCCTCTACCCCCGCTCCTGCCAAGGAAGGGCCCTGGCTATGGGGCCCTTGGTCCCTTTCCCTGCTCTCACTCGGGGGGGGGGGCTCCTGAAAGCTTAATCACCAGGAGGGTGGGCGATTCCTTTCCCAGGGATGATGTTCCTCTACCAGAAGCAACCCCGGTCATCCTCCTGGTGGTTCCAAAGAGGCAGAGCTTTTGGAATGGGGCTACCAAGTGGGGGGGGGAAAGGGCCTCCCAAAGATGGCAGCTGAGGAGGAGGTGAGGAGCAACAACTGCAGGCCTCCCACAAGGGAGAGTGCCCAGAAGCAGCCTTGAACCAGGAATTATTCTGGAGGAGCCTGAGGGCCTCCAGCTGGCACCCAGGACTGGAAAGCCAGAAGCTCCGGGCCCATTTCCTTGACCACTTCCTTGCCCGGGGTGGGTGGGTCCGCTGTGCCTTTGAGCTGCCTGCCCGTCTGTCAGCAGCACAAGGCACAGATGCTGGCCTGGCCCGGCCCGTTCTCCGGCGTTGGTCAAAAGCTCTTTATGCCAGCAGGGCCTCCGGGCTGGTGTAAAGGCAGTAAGCGGCTCTTGCCTTCACTGCTGGCCTGGGGGGCCAGGGAAGCCCAGCTGCCCTCCGGCTGCCAAGCCTCAGAGGCTCCCTCGCGCCTGTCCACTATCTTCCCAGTCTTTCCATACAAAGCTGTAGACTCTAGGGGGAAATCCCACTCTCTCTTTGAGGGGCATTTGAGGGCAGGACTTCTGATGTGACTCTTCAGGCTTTACTCATGGTGCAGTGACTTTGAGTGGTTGGGCATGGGGAGTTGGGGGACGAATGTCCTGCAAATTCCCCTTTGCTCTCTGCAGGCTTGTGTGTCTGCAATCTTTGCTTGCCAACGCATTTTGAAGTTTGCAGACATAGGCTGAGTAAATAGCCTCTTCTCATTCTGTTTATTTGCAGATCCAACGCATCACAACTTATGCAAGTTATTCCATTTGGCAGGGTGACAGGGGCAAGGTTGGCACAAAGAGTCTAAATTATGACCTCTTTTTTAGCAATAACAGTCTCAGGTTGTTAATTAAAGACTACCAGATTTAAAGCCCCCAAAGTGAGAGTCTTGAAAAGGGAAGCCACAGCAAATGGGTGGGTGTTTCTAAGGGGCCAGATTACTTTTATCAAGTGGGCCACCTGGAGCCAGGTGCAGCTGCTGGTGCCCAGTTAGTGACCCTTTTCTGACCGGAGTCACTGCAGCCAAGGGCAAGAGGTGCCCATTCTGGGGCCTCCCTGGATGGAAAAAGGGGCTCTTCTGTGGCTGCTGGGGGGGAGGGGGCATTTGCATCCTGCCCCCCCTCCCTGAGCAAGCGCCCTTCAGCACCACCTCTTTGCCCTTTCAGTGAGCAGCAGCAGCAGCACCAAAACAAAGGACTTGCCAGCAGCAGCTGAGAACAAGAAGTCCTCCATGCTATTACGGGACGGGTTGCATAACGGCTGTTTGGAAGCAGCTCCATGCCAGGATTGCAGCAGCCTCTGGATGGTGCCCAAGGGTGGGGCAGGTGCTCCCCAGCCTGCAGACTATCCAAGCCCAGCCACGACAGGCACATGACTCCCTCTGTCCCCTCAAATCCCCAAGGTGGTTGCACGGACTGCCACTGTGCCAGGCGAGAAGACCATTCAGGTCACTTCATGCACCCACTAGAGCCACAGGGGGCCCAAATGGCCCCAGCAGGAGGCTCCAAGGTGCCAGCAAGGCTGTTTGAATGGTGGTCCCTGGTCACCCAGCCCTGCACACAGAGCAGCGTCACTTTCTGCAGAATGCCCAGGAGGGGTGGCAGCAGGGCAGCTTCACATTCAGACCATGCAGTTCCAGAGGCTTGTTTTCTCCTCTTCACAAACTGTAGTCACCAAGGCTGCTCTGGATCTATGGAAAGGGTAGGGAAAGCTGTGCCCCCCCCTTCTTGCTGCAGTTGAAAGGACCATGTCAAAGCCACTTCCATACTGATGATGTAGGAGAAGAGGAAAAGTACTCTTCCGTGTCCCAAACACGGTTCTGGTGGACCAACCTTAAGACTAAAATAGGCTTGACAGATGCTCTGTGAGACTTGCCCCAGAATGAGGCTCGCTCTGCCTATATTCACACGCCTGGCCTTTTCTTTGAGGACTGCCTGACAACAGTCCTGAAAGGTAGGCTAGGTGCACCTGGCGCCTGGATCCAAGACTGGCAGCCTCCTGGCTGAAGCCCATCGTGGCCTGACATTCTGAGCTAATGGATGTTTCAGTGTTACCTGAGGGAGGTGCAGAAACCCAGTCCTGGATGCAGGGAGGCAATGCTGAGGAAGGCAGGCCAGGGGCTGCCATTCCCCTGCCTCTCTCAGATGGGAACAGAGCTCTGCAAAGGGACACTTTGTGCCAAGGAAGAGAATTTGCCCAAGAATGGCTTCCCAGGGCCAATTTCCAAGCCGCAAGGCGGACGGAATGCAGGGGGCTGTTATGTAACCTCTTGAAACAGGACGTGGTCTGCAAGACAAGCCAAGGCTGCAAGCCTGGACCATGGGAGGGTGCTCCACACTCCCACCTCTGCCTGCTGGCTGCCTCCAGAGTCTTCTTACATAACAGCGTGGAGCTGAGAACATTTTTCTGTGTTGTCGTCAATTTGTTTTGTTCTCTGCTGAGATGCCCAGCCCTCCCGCCCTCCACTTCCCCCATTTCTGCTTTCCCTGACGTCAGTTTGGGTCACGCCTCTCTGCGCTCCCCGAAGCCTTGGGGAACCCTGAAAGTACCAGAGCTGGAGGAAGTGGCGGAGCAAGGAAGAAACACCGCCCTAGGCAGGCGAGAGGCTCTGGGCTGTTCCATGTGCTGCCAGAGTACTTAACTTGTACCCAGAGAAGCTGCGCAAGGACCCCCTTCTGCAGAAAGAGGGCTCGTGCTCTACCCGAGACCCCTCAACTCCCCAAAGTTGACTTTCATTTGAAACTCTTCTTTGGGGCCAGATGATGTTCTGAACTGCCAAAACAGCTGCCCACAAAGACCCTTCCACATGTATATTTGACACGACTAGCATCCCCCTCCTCATCCGACAGAGGCTATGCCTGACAGCAGCTCTCCATTGCAGGGGCTTCTGCAGATCTTGCCTGGCTGCAGCAGACAGCTGGGACAGAAGGACAAGCCTTTTCTGAAGGTGCAGCTGAGACTTTCTGGCTTCCCAGTCTTCCAGTCTTCGGATTCCTCCTGCCGGCTGGGAACGGCTCAACTGCCTTCCCAAGTGGGCAGGCCGGGCGGGGAGTGGACAGAATATACCCGGGCTCCTTGGCTGGGGGGGGGGACACCAGGGAGCACCTGGAAGCCGCCGTCCTCCTGGGCTGCAGCCTGATTTGCAGGGAAAGAGTTCCCTCGTGTGGCAAGCAGGCAGCAGCGTCCTCCAGCAGGCCTCCAGCTCCCTGACTCTGAGCATGAAGCTGGGGGGTGGGGGTGGGGAGCGGGCAACTGCACGACAGCCATCGCCTGGGGAGTAGTGGATTGGCTCTTGTCACTTGGGTGGGCTGTCACAGTGGGACTCACTCTCCTGTCCAAAGGCTGCCTGAGGCTTTCCCCACCACTCAGCAGTCTGCCACTGGACAACGGTGGCTGAAAGCTAGTGGTCCCCGCTTTGGTTCCTGGCCACCTGGCGGATGACCAAGCCACGGGCAGGGTTGGGAGTGCCCAACATTGATGGCAGCAGAACAGCTGTGGAGACTCCATCTTCTCAGTGAGGGGTTGGGAGGAGTTGATTGCCCCCGCCAGGGATATGGCAACAGTGGGGAAAATGTTGCCGGGGTGCTCTTTGGGGGATGTGAGGAGGGGGCCATAGAAAGCACATGCTTGATACTTTTGACTCCCAAATGTGTTGCTTCCGCCCTGGGCTGCTGACATCCATCGCCTGCGCATCAACTGCAGAGAAAGTTGAGGAGGGTCCTCCTGATTCCCCTCTCCTTCTTGTGGGCCCTGACTTGGCTCCCTCCCTGGCTTTGCAGCTGAGACCAGCTTGGGGGGGGGGGCGGTGTCATAGTCGTTCTTATGATGCAGGCTCCCCTGCCACACTCTGGCCTGGCTTCAGCCATGCCCTGGAAGCCCAGGCCAGGCTGGTGGCTGAGTGACCCCTGCTCCTGGCCCCCTCTCCCTCCGGCCATGGGTAAAGGGAGGGGTTGGCCCGGTGGTCACGGGCAAAGGGGCCTCGGCAGGGCAACATGGAACAGTATGAGCCCATCTTCAGCATCGGTCAGGGCTCCAGCGCTGAGGTCTTCCTGATGAGGAACGCCAGGACGAAGCAGCTCTTTGCGGTCAAGAAGGTCAAGACGGTGCCCGGGAAGCGGCTGCGCAGTAAGGAGGCCATCTTGCAGGAAGTGGCCATTCTGCGGCAGCTGCAGCACCCCCATGTGGTGGCTTGCCACGGCCACTTTCTGGACACCGAGGAGGCGCATGTTTTCATTGTGCAGGAGTATTGCGATGGGGGTTCCCTTGACCAGCATATCCAGAAAGGGGGACCCTTTCCCGAGAGAGTCATCATGCGGTGGTTCGTGCAGCTGGCTCTGGCGGTGCAGTACATCCACACCCTGAGGATCTTGCATCGGGACATCAAAGCCTCCAACGTCTTCCTCACTCAGACCTGCATTCTCAAGCTGGGGGATTTTGGCATCTCCAAGGTGATGGACGGCACCTTGGAACTAGCCAGCACCTTTGTGGGCACGCCCTATTACCTCAGTCCTGAGCTCTGCAGGGATCTGCCCTACAGTTCCAAGGCAGATATCTGGGCCCTGGGCTGTGTCCTCTTTGAGATGTGCGCCCTGCAGCCGCCCTTTCAGGCGTTCAGCATGATCAGCCTCTTCCACAAGATTGTGAACTCCAGCCCCAGCCCCATCCCGTCCTGCTACCCGGCCCCCCTGCACGGCCTCATCCAAAGCATCCTGCAGAAGGACCCCGAAGCCCGGCCCAGTGCCAGCACCATTCTCACCTTCCCCTACGTCCAGCAGCACCTCAGCCTTTACTTCCTCCACCGGGACCCTCGGCTACCCTGCCAGTTGCAGACAGAAGCCGCTCCCGAAGGAGAGGGGGCTCAGCCCAGTCTGCCCGAGGCTGGCACAGCGGGCACCCCAAGCTCCCCGAGCGGTGCAGCCGAGGCACCCAGCTCTGCCTGGCTCCCCTCTCTGCAGCACAACCAGAACCTTGCAGACAGCCTGAGCTTCTGCAGCAGTGCTTCGCAATACTCGGCCGACTTTGAAGAAACGAGCACTTCTTCTGTCGGCAGCAGCTCAGATGCAGATCTCCCTATCAACACCGAGGCAACCGAAACCTGTAAGCTCACTTCATCAGACACAAGCTCCCAAAGGCTTCTGCCTTGTTAATAGTGTGCTGAAAAGCTGTTCCCAGATTCCTTTGCCACCCTAGACTAGCACGGCTCCCCTGCCCGTTTGCAGTAAAGCGGGCACATGTGCCCTCTGTTGCTAAGCTCAACAAAACAGTGAAGCTGAAATGCCATCGTGTGTGTGGGAACTTATAAAACTTACTGTGAATTTGGCAGTTTAGTGCAGTCTGGAGTAAACGGTGAAGCTAGAAAGTCCTGTAATCCATCAGCCCCAGCCAGTGTCAATAACGTGGGAGACCAAAGGCAGCTGTTTGGCAACTTTGAGAAGGCATTTCCTAGAGAGCAAGCAGAGCACCAAGCCTCCATGCTGGGGGCTTTGCCCACATACGATGCCAGCTTCTCTGGGGACACTCTCCTTCAAGACTTCTCACCAGCTCCACCAAACATTTGCTGCCCCACCCCATCGCCCCCTTGACACAGAGTGGCTAGCAGCAGCACGTTGAGCCCCGTGCCCCTTACAGGACCAAGCCTCCCTGCGCAGGAGGGCTGGATCAGGCTTCAGGGAGCCACACGCACCTTTCTTACTCTACTCTTTGAAGCCAGCACCCTGTCAAGACCAGGATCTTTCTTAGAGAGCCAAAGACTCAGGGCTGGAAAAGGCTCCAGGGAATGAGGGACCTGTCCCAGCCCAGACTAACCCACTTCTTCCCTTTCCTCCTCGCAGCTTCCGAGGACAACTGGGAGGCCCAAGACTTTGAGGACTCGGAGGAAGCCGCCCTGGCCGATGCAGTGGACACTCTTGAACGGGCCATGCAAGACAGCAAGTCCTCTTCAGCCCCTGGGAGCTTGCGTAAGCAGATAGGTGAGGCCACTCTGACCCACAGCTTCTATGGCTCCCTTTGCCTGACCAAGGGGAGGCCTCCGAGTAGTCCCCCTTCACCTCCAGGCCTCCCTTGGCAGCTGCATGGGACATCTTGCTATTTCTCCTGGGGCTTGCTTGGACCCCTTAGTCTAGCCTACGACTATCCAGAGCCGAGCCAGCGAGCGCTACACAAACTAGCACACCACATTTTGGTTAGCTGGTAGGGTCATGTATTAATTCTAGGATTAATTAAATTAATTAAACACAACCCTTTGTTGGAAACTCAGATATTCAGTGGCCCAAGAGAACCTTATTTGTCCCCACTATTTTCTGTTACCATTGCAACCTCTGAAACCTTTTCCTTGCCAGCCCCTTTCCTCAATTTGGCCTTCCTCTGCCAGTTACCCCATCCTTACCTGGTCCAGGTTGCTACTGCTGACTTTGATTGGTCCCCCTTCCCCACAGAGTCCCCTAGAGAACACTGACTGACCCGCTGCTGCTCTTTTGATCTGGATAAACAGTGGCCAAAGGGAAGCGCTCGGCTCCTCCCACCCGTGCAGGGTTCAGGTGGGATGCTTGGCTGCCAATCATAAACCAAGCTTCTGCCATTTTCAGATGACAGCGACTTTGGTGCAAGCGACTCCAGCAGCTTCGCCTCCAAGGACTCGGAGCATCTGTTATGCTCAGAAGACTCCGAGCACACAGAGATTGGCCGTTCACTGCAAAGTCTAGATTTGGGACACGGCAAGGGGAGCATCGGATGCAATCCAAAGCAAACGTGACTGCAGCCACCCTGGAAATCAGTGAAGGCGGGATATTCTGGTCAACCTTCCCAAGCAATCATCTGCAGCCCCCAAGATCTCACTTCAGAAGTTTTTGCAATGCAGGACCAGTCTAGTTGTTCTATTCCCAGATTCAAATCCTTGTGCGGCCTGAATCAAGATCCTTTTTGTAAAGAGATTTATAAAGAACTGCCAGAAAGAGCTCACCTAGTAAAAGTGTAAGACTTGCTAAGGATAAAACCACTGTAACCAACTGTAGTCTCTTCAGTTAAGTGCCTCCTCTTCCTCCATCTCCAATGCTTTCAGAATATTCCCTTCACAGGCATACACACACTTTCATAAAATCTAGACTGAGCTTCATCACGTGTCTGGCTGTTTCTTTCATGAACAGAGAGAACACATTAAAAAGGATCTCCCTCTTGTGGGTGTAGGAACAAAATGCCTTAGGTGAGGCCAGAAATATTTGACTGAAAACTCACCTCTGCCAGAATTGGCCAACCCAAGAGAAAGATGAACAGCAAAAGGCACCCTGGCCTGAGAACCGAAGCCTGGTGAAATTCCGTGTCTCTCCCCCCCCCCAATGTCATAATATTTTCTCCTGCAGAACACACAAAGGCTCTAGGACAGCCAAGGCAGACAAGAAGAGAAAAGCCCAGAGAGAAGTACGGAAAAGGTTTATTTATCAAACCGGAAATCTGGATTGGGCTCTGCACAGCACCTCAGGGGCTCAGCCGCTGCTCTGTTTAGCCGCTAGCCTCTTGTCTCTCTCTTCAGCAATCGTGAGGCGGATTCCCTTCCCGCGAGGCAGGGAGATCCAAGGCTTGTTACCCTGAAGTTCGAAAGGGAAATACGTTAGGGGGAAATAGGCTGTCCTGCCACTACTGGGAATGCTGGAATCAAAACATCCCATCTTTCTTCTGAACCGTAACGATCTGGTTGCTTGAGAGGGGGTCATTAATTCTGGGCCCAGTTGAAGGGATTCTAGACGTTCCAGAACGCCATGATCCACTTCCAGCTCAGCAAGATTTATGTCTGGAAAGCCACTGGGCCACTCCCAGAATAGCCAGATCAGCATGGATCAGATCAGAAATGGAGGTTTTCAGTGCTCCCCAGATTAAGCATCTGGGATCCAATCTAACAAACCGAGAAACAAATTATTGATAGGAGAAAAAATAAAAAAAACCAAACTGACAACTCTCACCAGGTAGACTGATACCAGCTCAAGCCCCAGATGAAGTTATTTTAACTAATCACATCTGTCGTTAATGCTCCCATCTGTAAATATTCATGCCCCAACTCATTTTTAAAAAACACAGTTCTCTCTATTACAAAAAGATTAAAGCAATCTTTCTTCAAGGATATTTGGACTATTCAGGATATTTAGACTTCCATTTCCAAAGCTATATTGAATAATTTTATGGCTTCTGAATTGATTTATTAAGAATTTGATAATTTATCAAATTCTTAATAAAAATTCAGAAATCATAAAATTATGACTGTATGATTTAAGAATGTATCCTTTTGCACAAATTCCCTCTTGGCAGGTAGAAACCAAAACCATAGCTGCTCAGCCAGGAGGTAAGGAGGATGGCAGATCCAGGCCCCTCCCCCACAAGTCAGGAGGGTCGACAATGGCCCTTCTTGTACATGTCTTTGCTGAGGGTCAGTATTCAAAGGAGGGCGTGATAAGCACCTGGTCAATTCCCTACCATGCACAGCAGAACCGCTGCCAGCAGTTTACCTTTCCAATCACAAAGATGTTAGACAGTCTGGTGGCAAAGCTATTGCCATTAGCATCCTTAACGTGAACCACATCAAATGAACCAGGATGCCTCTCCCGGTTGGTGATTACACCAATACGCCCCAAGTTAGCTCCTCCAGTCACCATGCACAAGTTGCCTGCAGGTGGAAAAGTAATAGTAAGAAGTTGCACATACAATCATCTCAGTTCTCTAATCAAAGGCTAACCCTTGGCGCAGCACGGCTTTCAGGATCACAGCCCCTATTCCACAAAAGCTGCTTCTTATCCACATCTAAAGAGCAGATGTTTTGATCTCCATGGCGGACACTTCAAGACACAAACTACAACCCCTGAAAACAGACCCACAGGGGTCTGACCACCCCACAGTTAAGTCACTTAAAAACAAACCTGTGTCAAACTTGATAAAATCTGTAATCTTGCCCGTCTCCAAATCAATCTGGATAGTGTCATTCACTTTGATGAGGGGATCTGGGTACCGGATTGTTCGGGCATCATGAGTGACAAGGTGAGGAATTCCTTTGGTGCCCACAAAGATCTTTCTAATCTTGCACAGCTTGTACTGGGAAGACAACCAACAGAGAGAATTACTTGGGCCAGGAATTCTTCACAAGACTGGGCTTCCGCCATTACAAAGCTGCTAAAAGCACAGCAGGCAGTCTTCCCCTGCTGTTGATCTGCTGGCCAACTGCCATTAAGCCAGGAAGTAGACCCTGCTGCTTAGAGCATGGGAGGTGACCTAGAGCCCACCAGATGCTTCAGATCACTCTCCCAATCCTTTCCTTCACTCAGCAGAATTGGTGGAGGATCTGGATAGGATAAAGGAGCTTCCGCTAATCATTTGGGCCTGGGAGCAGGTCCAAGGTTTGCATCAGATTTGACTGTATTATCACAAGCTTCCAAATTGTATCAGCTGGGAAGTATCACAACAAATCTCAGCCTATCCTGGGATTCAAGGCCTAGCATGAAAAGCCATTTCTGAAGACAGTACCACCCCAGATCCCCTTAGCATTCAGAGCAGGAAACTGGTAAGACACACTCTAGGAAATGAAGGAATTTTCCCACCCATCTGTTATTCAGAAAGTTCAGAGGTCAATTTTACTCAGCACCCTCCAAAACAGGACTTAAATAAGACAACAACAATCTATTAAGTTGGGCAAAAAAACATGATGAAAAATGTTCAGGCGCAACAATGTCCCAGTTTCAGAGCACGTTTGTTCTGATCGATATTTATTCAGTTTCATGGTCAAGGAATACAATTCTGTCTTCCCAATACTGGTCAGCTAGCAAGCTTACCTTGGCTTCTTCTGGTGTGATGCGGTGAACGGCAAAGCGTCCCTTAGTATCATATACAAGGCGGAAATGCTCAGCTGTTTTTTCAATGCTGATCACATCTGATAAGAAGAATGTGTCGGTCAAGGAATCAGCCAAAAACAAAGGCATTGGGAGTCGTGTCCCTAGCTTCCAAAAGAGAAAGGAGGCACAACCATGGCGTTGGCACTGCATGATTTTCTTTTGGTGTGTTGCTTCTTCAGATCTCAGGAGAGGTTTCGACTCTTCTGAGATCTGGAGCGCGAAACATGGCACACCTCAAAGACAAAAGGCTGCACAGGAAGCTATCCAGGTAAAGAGGCCAAAGCAAGTCAGAGCCCACCCGGGGAACACTGGAAGCAAGTGAGGGCAACTGCACAATGGAAATGGGCCAGGCTGGTTCCAATAATCACTTACCCAGAAAAACTGGCCTGGCTTACTGAAGTTGAGATCTAACAACTGAAGACACCCAGGCTGGAGAAGGTGAGCTCAGTTACTTAGTGCTGGATAGATTATTTGTGGAATGGACACCATCAAGGCATTTAATTAGAATTAATACAACAGAACTATGTATCCGGGATGAGCAGCAATCTTGAGGAAGTATCAAAAAGTCATTTCCCTCTTCTAATCTACAGACTGCCCTCCACAGCCCAGCACCAACTTTCACTAACCCATGAATCCAGCCGGATAGGTAATATCTGTGCGGACTTTGCCATCAATCTTGATAAACCGCTGCATGCATATTTTCTTGACCTCATCACCAGTCAGGGCGTATTTAAGCCTGTTCCTGAGAAAAATGATAAGTGGGAGGCATTCCCTCAGTTTGTGGGGTCCTGTTGATGGACGGGGTGCCTGTAAATCCAAAGACAATGGAAAGTCACACACGAGCCACAATATTCCCACAAAGCCATTTCAGGGATTGGCATAAAGCTGGAGTGAACCATGAAGCCAATCACCATTTATGTAGCTCAACCATAAACCGACTTTCCCTCACCCCAAAGTACTCAAGATAACATGCTTTTGCCTGCACTGCCTGCTTAACATTTTAGCTCTTGCCCACGAGAAGCGCCAGGGTCTTAGTGTCTGGGGCTGGGCCAGCATCTCCCAGTGTGCTTCCTCCCCCTCCTGGGTGTTCCTATTCCTTGGCCATCTGGCCATAGTGTTACATTGGGTCTCCTGCTTTTATTGTCCAATATGAAAGTGAGAGGCATTCTCTCTTCAGCACATAGGAAAGAAAGGCAGGGATGCTCATAAGTTCAATCGTGGGCAGCCTTTTGTGGGAAAAGCCAAACACTCAGCAGGCTCCCTTCCTCCTCCACTCAGGGCAAGCCACGTTCATAAACTGTGGCATTATTTTAACAAGAACGCAGCAAAGTTGTGGTTTGGAGCAAGAATGCAAGAAGGATCACTGTACTGGAAGGCCTCTATTACGACCGCACCTTTGCAAATCGCTCAAAGCTTGGGGGCTCCACACGACCAAGCACAAGAGTCGAAGCGGCGCCAGCGGCCCCCTTCAGGCCACGTTACAGGGAATTATCCCCCCTCCCCAAAACGCAGCGTGCTTAAACGGGCGAGCTTACAAAGACTCCCGTCAGCTTGTCCAGCATCCAGTGCTTCGGAGCGGCCACCCGCTTCAGGTGCTTCTTGGGTCCGCGAGCCTGCAAGAACCGCGCAAAGCAGCAGTTACAGATGCGCCGCGGACGCGCGGTCGGGTACGACAAGCGAGCCCCTTCCAGACGCTTCGGGCCCCATCCCCGGAAACCGCCCGGGCCCCCCGGAACGCAGCCGCCCTTGAACGGAGGCCGGTCTTCCTTGGGGCCGAGGGTCTTCAATGGGGTCCCGCCCGCACCAGGAAGGGCGCCTGCTGCCAAAGAGTGGCCGCGCGGATCCCTGCCGGGCGGCCGATGCACGTGCCGCCAACCGGGGCGCTTCGCTCAGAGCAGGCCGACGGATGGCGAGGGATTCCGGGAGGTGCGAGCCAAGAGCCGCGTACTCACCATGGCAGCGCTCCGTCAAGAAAAGGCCGCTGCTTCCACAGCGGGCCGGATATCCGGTCTGAAGTACGGCGGCTCCGGGCGTCCATAAAGTCTCGGGGGCGACAGCGAACAGCTCCCCCAAGCGGCCAGCGGTGGTTCTTATTCCGAGAGCCGATGCTCTCCATCAGTTCTACCCGCCCGTTTGCCGGCCGCGCAGCTCCACACCCTCCAAAGCCAGAGCACGCATGCGCCCGCGAAATGCAATTGGAGAGGGGACCCACTTTGCAGGCACAACTGACAAGCCACATCTGGAACTTCCTGCCCAGGCCAGCACTACCAGAAGTGGGGGAGGGGGGCAGCTGACTGCAGAGCCTAAAGGGCCACCCTGGGAACCTGGGCAACGCCAGAGGAGAAGCAAAGGGGAGTTGCATTGAATTTTATGAAATCACCGGATGGGGGAGCATGTTCCTCCCCGTCACTCCCATCAAGCGCAATCTTAAGGCTCACTCTGCTTCATGAAACCGGTGGGACTCATTGCCACAAGATGGAAACCGCTATTGACAGTTCTTAGTCCAAGGAGAACGTAAGGACCACACACCAGGAAAAGAGGCAGTCATCCAATTTTTTTTTATTTCAAGGCAAACAGCTGTTCAAAAAATACCAACAGAGCGGAGTCTCTTCTTGCTGTGCTCCTGCCAGTCCAAGAGGCACAGGGCCGGGGGGGGGGGCTTCCACTCCTTCTAAATGAGCTGCCTCTGCAAGGGACGAGGCTGGAAGTCCAGGCTGGTGGGAGGGTGGGGAGTTGTCCTTTAAACTTAACACCCTGTTGCTCCAAGTAGCACAAACAGCTCCAGGATCACAGCCTGAGGGGCTCCCGATGCCCTACCGGCATATCCGTGCAGTTCCTCTGCACTCTTTGACAACTGCTGCCAGGTGCAGTGGCTCTGGAGAGAAGGGAGTCCTCTTTTCCGCTAAGTCACATGTTTCAGGTTCCCTGCAAAGAGAGACACGCCAAGCCCGTCTCCTGCTGGAGCCCTCAGGGCTCACCCTCCAATCGCCTCCAACCCGGAAGGAAAGGTGTGGAGCAGAGGACCCACCTTTCACACAGCTGAGGATCTCCCGGATGCGCTGAGGCTCATTCCGGTCTGGCCGGCAGCTTGGAGTGATTTCCAGCACATAGTCAGGGCCGTATTCCGTGAAGTACTGCCCGGGAGAGGGAAGGTCAGGCTGAAGGGAAAGGGGGAAGAATCCTGGCGCCCCCATCGGCCCTCCCTGCATCCCAACAAGCACTGCCGTTGCTCCACGAGGAGAGGGAGGCCTTTTCCCAGGAGTCAGCCTGGGGTGGCCTGTGCATGTCCAGCAGCCCTGGGCCAGCCTATTGCTTTCTCCCTGCATTCCCATCTGGACCAACAGTAGCCCCGGCCTTGAGCAGCAGTGAATTCCTTCAAACGTACATCATCGTGTGTGTCTTGCAGGTGTCTGAACCATTCTCGGCTACCCCAGACAAATAAACCAGAGGCTATTTTTACAGGGAGTCCACGACTAAGGGCAGCCCTTTTCCTGTGCTTGGAAGGAGCTCAAGCCTTACCTCGTGATCAGGAATTTCAGAGGGCAACGTTTTCCCCAGAACGACTCCAGTCAGATATGTCCAGCAGCGGGCAGTGTTAGCAAGGTGATAGCCTCCTGTCTCCAGGAGGGAACGAGGCATCACATCACATAAGGAAGAGGGCAAAGAGAAAAGAAAGTGAAAAGTACTTGCTCCATCACATCCATTCTGGTCCCAGTTAGAACACACGAAGCATCTTGAAGCTGCAGAGCTGACTGGCTCAGTGGCACAAACGGTAGACTTGCAGAATTGATTCAAGCCACTTCACTGACCCAGCAAGAAACATAGTAGATGATGTAGAACATTGTACTGAGACCATTTCATTCTTCACTCTATGGGACCTTAAGAATTTGACTTTAAAAAAATCAAATTTCCAGGGTGCCCCAAGTTGAAGCACCTCCCACTACAAGTTTCAAAAGAATGAGCACTTCAAGCGGGCTTACAAACTGACTGTGATCAGAGCAGCTGACCCACAGGCTCTGCCCAATCTACATTTCTGTGCACCTGGCTGGCTGGTGCCACACTTGCATTCTTGCTTGCTTACCTCCCCCCAGGATAAGGGTCGGCAGCTGCCATTGCAGCACATAATTCAGGCACTTGCCGATCCCCTCTGGGGTCAGGTTGAATGCACACATGGGATCGCCTGCAATGGTATCTGCTCCCAACTGCAGTACTACGGCTTCAGGGCAGAAGGCGGCATACACGTCCTTCAGCACCCTGCAGAACGAAACAGAAAGGAAGAGGGAAGCTGCTGGACCCATCTCTCCCCTGCTGAGGTCAGCCATCCCTCCCTCTGGATTCCTCCGAGGATCCTTTGGCCTACTGGGGGGGATGGGCAGAGCCCAGGGAGGGACAAAGGCAGAGATTCTAGAATAGCTAGCGCCCCGGGATACTCCATCAGAAGCTCCACTAAACATGCCATTAGTTCCAAGGGCCGAAAAAGCTGAAGGTCTGGGAAGGTGAAATTCCACCGTGGGACCCCTCCAAAAGAGGACGAGACAAAGTTGCCAGGGGAGAGGCCCTCTGATATCTCCTGACTCTGAGAGCCCCCCCCTTGCCATCCAGGAAGCAGGCCCCCTCCGAGGGAGCAAGCAAGCCAAGCCAAATCAGCAGCTTGGATTCCAGGGCAGGGAAGGGCTCATTCAGCCTCCCGGCTCTTCCCTCCCTTGGGGCGGGGAAGCTGCGCAGCCCACTCAGCAGAGGTGCCTGGCGAGCGGGTGCTTACACCTCGCAGATCTGGTAGTATGTCTCGTTCTTGATGCCATCCTGAAGGGGTACGTTGATGCTGTAGTAGCGCCCCTTCCCGAAGCCCACCTCTGTCACATCTCCTGTTCCTGAGTAGGCGGAAAGGCTTGGATTAGCACATACAAATCCAAAGGTGAGTCACCCTTTATTTTCCCCCCATAAAGAAGACGAGCAAGAAGGATCCCGCAAGGCAGAACCCAGTTGGATAAACTAATCACTTGCCTGGGAAAAATCCAGGAGCAAACTTGTGCAGAGACACCGTCATGACTTTGGAGGTGAAGCTGAAAGCGTCCTCGACACCTGCGCAGACAGCAAAGGGGGAGGCGCTCCTTTGCACCCGGAACCGACCTCACCCTGCTCCTGTCGGAACTCTGCCCTTTACAGGGGGTCCTCCGTTAACAATGGCAATGGGGACCGGGATATGAGGTCAAAAAGCGTGACCTCACGTGACCCCACCTCCCAGCGAGAGCAATCCCAAACTCTGTGGCCACTGCTGAGCAATCGGCACAGTCTTTAAGGGAGGACATTGCGTGGCCGGCCCTCCCCACGGGCTTTGCTCGTAGGAGGTCAGCAAAGGCCATTAAGGGTGGCCATCTGATGGTGGCCGGGGCTCCGAGAACCGGCCGCAAGTTGCGCTTGTTCAGAACAGTTGCTGAATGGAGCATTAACCAAGCGCCACCCCCTTTGCTACAGGTAGTCCTCAATTTACCATCACAATCGAGCCCAACATTTCTGTTACTAAATGAGACATTTGTTATGTGAGTTTTGCCCTATTTTACAACCACAGTTCTTAAGTGAATCACTGCAGTTGTTAAGTTAGTAACACGGTTAAGTGAATCTGGCTTTCCCATTCACATGACCCCGGGACACTGCAACCGTCATAAATACAAGTCAGTGGCCAAGCGTCTGAATTTGGATCGCCTGACCCTGGGGATGCTGCAGCGGTTGCGTGAGAAGTGGTCGTAAGCCACTTTTTTCAGTGCTGCTTTAACTTTGAATAGTCACTAAGCGAATGGATGTAAGTCGAGGACTGCCTGTATTATGTCAGAACATGGACAGGCCCAGTTTCTCTGAGATGCATTAGAGGAATGAAAGAAGCAACAGAAAAAGTCCAGAAATGGGCAAAAGAGGAGGATTGAAGCCAAGGAAAACATGGCAACTTCTCTGGGAACCAGAAGCCACAGGATATCCCCAGTGGATCAAAGGGTTGTAAGAAACCCTGGAGAACATGTAGACCGACCCGTTGACAGGTTAATACAGTGTCCCCATCAGATGCTCACCCCACCCCCAGCCTCTGTTCACCTTCTGAACTGCCATCCAGTTTCATCCAGATACCCAAACAAGATTCCCTTCCTTGTCATCTGAGCCCCATTTGGGGCCAGTGAGCCTGCCTCCCTCCAGCCTTCCTTCTGCAGGCCAAGCAGGCCTCCCGGGCCTTTTAGCTCCCTCTCCCTCTCCTCTGGTCGCCAGCTTTGGGGAGGGGGGGACCGCTTAACCCCGCAGCCATTAGCGCAAGGAGGAAGGAAGAGCCTTACCGTCCCCGTGATGTAAGTCTAGGTCAGCGTAGAGGACACGGTCAAATTTCCGGCGCAGCTCTAAGATCCCCAGCACCGCATCGTTCAGATAGCAGAAGCCCGAAGCCTCGTCCCTGGAAAGAGACGTTGCAGCTCCGCGAGGCTTCCCGGGCGCAAAGGCCATCCGCGCGGGGAAAGCGCTGGCCTCGGGCAGACAGGAAGCTAGCCGTTCCCCGCCCCACCCCCAGCGCCCGCCGCCCCGTACTTCTTGGCGTGGTGCCAGCCGCCGGCCCAGTTGATCGCCACCCGGCACTTCTTCTCCGCCAGGCACCGCGCCGCCGTCAGGGTGGCGCCGCCGACTGCCGCCGCATACTCGAAGACGCCCTGGCTGGCCGGGCAGTCGTAGCCTGCAGTCGGGGGAGAGCAGAGGCGAGGCGCGGGCGAAATCAGCGGCGACCGCGGGGAGGGCGGGGGGGGGGGGTCCGGCCCGGGGTCTCCGCCCGCCGCTCACCGAGTCCGAACTCCGCGGAGTCCGGGTGGTCCTCGTTGCCCTCCTCGCTGACCTGCTGCAGGTGCTGCAGGTAGGCGTCGGTGTGGAAGGCCGCCATCTCCTCCATGGTCGCGGGGCGCGGCTGGACGACCCTAGGAAGGCAAGGCTCAGGCGGGCGGGCGGGGGCCGCGGCGAGACCCCCGCCCGGGCCGAGAACGGAGCCGCCCGCCCGCCCGCCTACCTCATGTGCTTCAGCAGCGAGTAGGCTTCCAGCAGCGCGTGCACCATGCTGGCCTGCGGAGAGACGGGCGCCGGCTGAGCTCCTCCCGAGCGTGGGGAGCACCCCCCTGGCCTCCCCCCGGCCCCCGCCACGCACCCGCCGCGGGACCTTGCACAGGGCATCGCATCGCGCCACGTACTCGGCGCCGTACACGTAGACCGGCGGCGGCGATCCGTCCATGGGCGCCCCGGACTCAGCGGGCCTCGCGCGCGCTTCGGGGCGGGGTTCCTGCCGCGTGGCGCACCGGGAAATGAAGTCCGACCTCGCCGAGTCGTCGTCGTGGAAAGACCCGGGCCGGTGCTGTTGGTGAGCGGCCCGCGCCGAACGCCGCCTGCCCGGCCGCGTCTGCGTGGGGCGTCCCCACGAGGGTCTTCGACCCGCAGCCAAACCTCAAGGCGCGCGGCCGGGGGTCCCGCTCGGCTTCCCGTACCCGCCGCGCAAGAATCACGCGCAGAGATCGGCTGTCACTTCAGCTCAGCGGTTTATTGAAGGACACGGAAGGCGCCGGATGCACAACCCGCGCTCCATCCCAACTTTCGCGCAGAAAATGCCTGGCGCCCACACGCGTGGGAAAAAAACCACATTCAGGCACTGCGCCAGAGTAGCCCCCAACCACCCCCCCAAACGAGGAGGGGGCTCCCAAGGGGGAAGAGGGATCAAGCTGCAAGGGGACCCTTCTGAGGTTCTGCCCCTCACTCCGCCAACCAGCCCCTGCCATTCCCCCTGTGCACAGAGCCACAGGGTAGGAGGTTTCCAGCCTGCCCCAAAGGATGCTCCAGGGACTTTTCTTCCCAGAATGCTGTGTCACTTGGCAGAAAAGACCCTCCCACAAGCACTGAGTGGCCTCCCTTCCACCAGAGAAGACATCATTCCCCCTTGAATGGAGTTGCTCTCTGAGAAGGAGCAAAGCAGCCATGATTTACAGGATGAGTCCCTTTCTTTAAGAAAAGCCCCTCAAAAGGAGGGCTTCTCCCTCAGAACAGGGTGGCTCCTGGTTCACGTGAAAAGCAAAGTCCTCCAGCCCAGAAGGCTCTCTTGCTGCATGAACACAACTTTCAGAACCGCCAACAGCAAGTCAAGGTTTCCGTTCTCAGGACAGAGAGAGGGAGGGAGGGAGGGAGACAGACACCCCTTGGGATGGGAAAGGTCTGGCCAGACACCTCTGAGTTCACATCTTGCTTGCCGCAGTTCTTGAAAGCAGCTGGCTGCGCTGCTGGCTTCCAGGCGGTAGAGCTGCTCTGGGAGAGGGTCCACCCCAAGGGGGCTCTTGGTGCTGAGGAATCCGGACAGTTTCACTGCGTGGTGCAGCCACTGCTTGGGAGGAACTCCTGCACGCAGGTGACCACAGCTCGGGAGAGGTAGGTCATGCTGCCAAACCTGCCACTCGGAGCACTGTCATAGAGCAGCTTGCAAATGCCAGTGGCCGGGTCCTTCTCCAGCATGGGGTCATCGGCCCCCAGGATTTTCTGGTTGCAACACAACAGTAAGAGAGTGTTATTGCCCAGAGGGCAGGGCCAAGTGCCCCCCTCTCCAGGTAGGGGACAAAGGAAGCTTGTGTCTGCCGGAGACCCCACTCCCTTTGGCTGGGTTTATGTTCCCATCTGCTCCAGCCACAGTGCAGAGCCGGAAGGCCCAAGGAGTCTGTCCAGCAGGCCAAGGTGTGGTCAGCTGAGCAGCCATGCTCCAGAGATTTTCCTCCCTCAACAGCCAGGCCACACAGCCTGCCTTTTCTCCCTGGCCCAGGGAAGCCCCAGCAACAAGAGGCCCCAACCTGCTCTTGGCAGAACAAATCGTTTGCAACGTGCACAATCCGGTCCACGGCCACCAGGCCCCCGATGCTGGGGCCGTTGGCATCCGTCAGCAGCGTCAGGACCAGGATAGCTTCTACAAAGAGCTGCCGGTACTCAGGCTGAGGGACTCGGTTTAGCACAGACTCAACATGGACTGCAAACTTGATTTCTCCAGGAGTCATCTATGGCCAAAGGAAGTCTCTTTTGAGTTTAGCTGTGCCCCCAAATGGGCCTCTTTGTAAGAGAGGAATGGACGGCTCCTGAGAGCCACAAGGCACCCAATCAAGGGCCAGAACAGGGACATGAGTCTTCCTCAGAAGCCAGGCGGCCTTGTTTGGGGTAGCAGATAGGGCCATGAGGAGCAATGGAGGAACCCCATTCAGGCACAATATTTGGGGAGCAGGACCCCCCCCCCTTTAGGATAAAGGGACAGTGCAGCCATTACCTCTCTAGTTGTGGAAGAAGGGAGAACAAAGCCTTCAACGGAAAGCCCGTGGCACTACAGGAGGGGAGGAGAAAGGCAGCAGTTACACCCTGGAGGCCCAGGGTGCTGTTTCCACAGGCCATTGAGACAAGAGGTCTCAGCTTTTCAGGTGAGCCAGGAGGCCCAGCCTGCAGCCCCAATTCTGCCAGCTCCTGGCTCGTCCTCTGCGTCAGCTGATAGCAAGCCTGGAGCTGCCCGCAGGAGCTGCTCAGCCTGGCTGCAGAGCTCCTCTTATCCAGGGCCTCCTTTCTCTGCAGTTTCTCAAGCCCAGAAGAGCACTTTCGCTCAGGTGGCCGAATGGCTTGGACAGCACTGCTACGCTGCAGCTGAGATGGGGGGGGAGCAGACAGGTGCCAGCCCCTTCACCTTCTGGAGGATCCGCCAGACTTTCTGGTAGAATCCCACTGGGACTCTGTTGAGGGCCCCATCCAGCCGCCGCCGCCGCAGCCACTGCCCTTGACGCCCGTCCTTGGTGGAGGAATCCTCGGGGGCCTGAGTGGGATCTCTTCTGCCTGGAGCCAGGGAGGATCTGGACAACTGGAGAGGAACAAGCCGGACGGTTGGCCATGCCCGCAGAAGCAGGCTGTGGCCAAGCAGCTCGAGAGGGAGGACTTGCCTGGGCAGGGTCTGCTCCGTCTTCCAAGAAATGCAGGGCTCCAGCCTGGAAAGAAAGAAGACCAGTTGCAGCCCTCTTTAGAGACTGGTGGCAGCCACGGCCAGAGCACAGGGAGGATGTGGCGTGAGAGCTGAGTGGACACACGAAGCCACAGCCAGTTCTTCTGTTAAAAGCAAAGCTGTGAGAAAAATTAGCGGACACTCTTCTTTCAAAAGCCAGCATGAGGCGGGGTGTGTGTGTGTGTGTGTGCTGTGGACCCTGAGAAGTGAAGCCAAGCAAGCCCAGGCAGCTCCAGCCCAGACTGGCTGGCCCAGGGGAGGTGCAGGGCCGTTTGTGAGGTGGCTCCCCTGGAGTCAGAAGGCAGGCAGGCAAACTCAGCTCTGTATGGAGGCCCGTAGGCTGCTGCATATGCCCCTCGCTTCCACTGGCTTCCTGGGGCATGGATTCCCCCTGACTGGCCACCTCTGGGGAAGTGCTCCCAAGGAGCCCCTTCTCCTGTGGCCCTGGAATGCCCACTGCCACAGGCATGGGGAAAGCTAGTTTTAAGGTGCCCAGCTGCCTCCACCACCTCCAGAACTGGCTGGGAAGGGGAGCTAAGCCAAGGGGCCTCAACAGGGCTTCCACCAGTTCTGCCTTCTCCTCTGGACCCGATGCCAGGTAAACACCAGGCTGGCTCTGTCCAGTCAAGGTCAGCCCACTCCTGCTCCCTTCACTCTGCCAGAAGCAGCAGCTGCATTTGCAACACTTTTGTCCTTCGCCCATCCCACTCAGGACCCTCTATGGCTCCTGCAGGTCGAGGCGCCCCTGGCAGAAAAGTCAGCTGGCTTTTGAATGGAGCACAGGGGGGGTTCACCTTAATCTCGGACAAAGACCGCCTACGTCTATCCAGTTGCTGGAAGAGAAAAAAGTGTTGATGTGGAGAGGAAGCTGCTCTCCCTGGCACTAACACACACCCCATGGAAAAGCCCAGCCCACCTGGAAGAAAGGAGCAAATTTGCCCAGGCCAGGGAGTTACTAGAGGAGTTGGCTCAAAAATTCTGCCAGCCACCTTGAGTCCCCCTCCCTCCCTCCCTTTGGCTGCCACACAAGGGAAGGAAGCCCCCATCCCCATCTGGGGCTCAGCAGAGCAACTGTCTGCCAGGGTGGAGAAAGCTACAACTTCCCAGCGGACACATGCTTACCCTCCTGCCTCTGAAATTATCCTCCCCTGCCTGGGCAAGGCCAGGCAGAGCAGCCCACCTGCTTGATCTCACTCTTGAGCTTGACAATGCCGGCGCGTTCCGACTTCGTTGCTCCCACAGCCCCAAACTCACGGATGGAAACTGCTGGGGTCAGGGCGGAATCCGTGGCCCGCACTGCAGGAACATCAGGCCCAAGACTCAGCGTGCCAGCCTGGGTTCCTGGAGCTCCTTCAGCAGGTGGGTTCAGGGAGCTGGGGCTACAAGTCCCAGGATTCCCAAGCTAGTTGTATCCGTTTGGGCTGGCTCTCCCTCCCAGCCCCCACCTGAGGCGAGCAACTCACCGCTTCTCTCCACACCGAATTCTTTGCCACTGAGGATGTGATGAAGAAGGTTCTTCATATGGGAAGGGCTGAGATTCATCAAGCTTTCGGCAGCTTCTTCGTCTGAAGCCGAAGGAAAAGGAAAGGAGGCGCTGAACAACCCAGGGTTTCTCTCACCCCCAGCCCACCCAAAAGGCCCTTCGCTGCAGCCCCCCCCCCCCGAGCCACAAGGAGGCCTTCAATCGGCCAGCCGGCCTCGCAGCACCCAGGCTGGTCCCACTCACCTGAGCAACAGAGCGACTGGGCCAGCTCCATTGCCATCACCTGGATGATAAGCCCAACACGCAGGCGAAACATCTCCGCAAACAGGGCCGGCTGCGTCCGGATGTACATGGCAAGGTAGACCATGATCTCCTGCAGAGAGTGGAAGGAGCAGCGCTTAGCAGAGCCGGCCACTGTGGGACCCCGGAGAAATGCCGTTCGTGGCTTACCTGCGTCAGGATGAAGAGGTTCACGTTCTTCTCACTGGCCTCGTCTATCAGCTGGGTGAGCTCCTCGTAGGGCAGGGGACTGTGGAGGCAGCAGGACCGGGGATTTTGAGGAGCCCACGGCCGGCTGCCTTGTATTTGAATCTTTACATTACATAACTATAGAATTGTAACAACTGTTATAATGATACACTTGGTTTCTTTTTCTCTTTGTTTAAGCAATAAAAATATTTTTAAAAGATGGTAATCTAGCCAGAGCCTGCAATCAGGCTGGGGACTCACGCAGAGATGGTCTTCTCCCGAGGCTCTGGGGGCAGCCCCACCGTCAGGTGCTTCTGGTGCGACAAGAGGTCTGTGCAGGCCTAGAGAGAGAAGCTGGTCAAGCGGGGAGGGCCATGCGGGGCTGCCTCGGGAAGAAGGGAACCCACGGAGCCCGGTCAATCCAGGTCAAGGTCCATTACCTCGTCCAGGGCCTCCACCTTCTTCTTCAGGATGCCAGAGATGTAGCGGATCAGGGCCCATTGGCAAGTCGCCCCAACTTTGCCATAGAGCTCCACCAGGAGACCCTTGACGGTGGCCCCACTGGTGCCATGGATCTCAGTGTCCCAGTCGGGCCCCCTGAAAACGCAACTGAAGCTGGTTAGAGAAAGGGGCTGTCCAGGGCAGTAGTGGGCACCCAGCTTGCCGAGCAAGCAGCCTGCTTGGAGAGCAGCCCAATGGAACTGGCACCGTAGTTGTTGTTGAGGCTGCCGCAGGCAGGGCTGGTGTAAGACAGGAGTCCAGGCTGCTGGGAATGGGCTTCCTCCCGAGTAGCCTCCCTTCTCCCTTTGCCATGAATCATTGCAGGAACCACAGGGAGATTTCTTCACCAGCCTTCCCTTCAAGAGGAGGCCCCTTGTTGCGGTTGTGGACAGGGGCTGGCTTTTGCAAATGCTGCAGGAAGAGTTATCTAGGGCGAGTCTCCCTCCCTCCCTCCCTCCCTCCCTCCATGGGGCTGCAAGGTGAAAAGGAGGGGAAGGGCTCTGCCTGGTTCCTACTTGAGGGTGTGCAGGAGATGGAGGCAGCTGGCCTGGTTCTGCAGTGTCTGGCATTCACGGAGCTGGTCCACCAAGGCCTGGCAGTCCACCTTCCCGCTTGCTTCCTTGGGGAGACTCACCTTGCCAGGGAGGATGGAAAACTTGTAGAGGAAAGACAACAGGGGGATTTGGGGAAAAGATGTCTCCTTGATCAGCTCATCACTGGAGTTTACAAGAAAAGCTGCCCCAAACCAGGAAAGGGGACCGAGAGATGCAGATGCGGCTTAACCACTTTATGCGTCTGAAAGGAGGGGAAGGTGCAAACATCGCCCAAGGCCTCCAGTCTTCCACTGACTTGCTAGCAGGCAGAAGCTTGGGGGGGGGGCTTTTGATGGCTCCTGGTAGGGCTGGAACACCCCCCTCCTGTTGCTCTGGGCCATGGAAGCAACCCAAGGAGACGGGACACCATTCAGGAACCTCACCTGGGCACCCTGGTTTGGGGCCAAACCCAGCAAGCGAGCAGACGGCTGATCGTCCAGGAGAAGCTTGGAGGGTATGTACAGGTTGATGTCTGCAGCAGAGAGAGAAAACAATGCCCTCACCTTCAGGGACGAGACACGGTTGGCTGCTTGCTGGGCAGAGCTCAGGAGATGAGGAGGGTCTTTGGGGTGAGGGACCCTTCCCCATCACCTCAATGTGCTACGCATAGCTATTATTAGAGGCAGATGCTCACTCTCCATGTGCAGCTCCTTTGCCTTCGACATCAGGGACAGGAGGTCCTGGGTGCTGTGGACGGCGGCACGGAAGCGATTCAGCCCCCCCTTTTGAGCTGGGGGTGGAAGGCTGACTTTAGGGGTGGGGTGATGGAGAAGTTGGTCGAGGTATTGGGCAACATCATCACAGAGGTCAGCTGCAAGGAGAGGAGCAACAGGGAGAAATCCTTAGACCAGCCCAGAGGAGCAGAACTGCCTGTCCAGAGGGCTCCTGGCCAAGCCAAAGGATGGCCTGGGGGGGGGGGGGTGCCCGTGCAAGCCCAAAAAAGCCCAGCCAGCAGATGAGCCCCTGTTGTGAGGCCTGCAAGGTGGCTGATGGTGCCAGCCAGGCCAGTCCTTGGCAAAGCAGGGGAGGAGCACCATTTCATGCCCCCCTCAAAGATGGCACAACAGCCACAATGGCTCCTTCCACACGCCTGGGGCCACGAACTGGGTACCATTGGCCAGCAAATGATCGCAAAGCCATTTCCACAAGGAAAGCTGCTTGCCATCCGTCCAGGTTTCATTGCTAGAGCCACCCCCCCCCCCGATCATCTCCCACAACTCATAGGCTGAGTGCCTGAGCGATGTTCACACGTTGACTCACCGCCACGCCGGGCCCTATTCAGCACCAACCCCCAGCCCACGACCTCCCCACATGCAGCAGCCCAGAGGGTGAAGCATTTGCCCCGACTGCAAACATGCAGCATCCATGCCAGTATTCAGAGGTGGTATGGAGGGGGTGACCACAGGCTGGTTACAGACATTGTTACAATGGGGTGATGAGTCCAGAAGAGGAGGAGGAGGGGGGGAGGGGGAGGGTGTTTGTGGCAGCAGGAGAAGCCAGCAGAGATGTCTGTCGTTGCCGGGGAGAGCTCCAGAGGGGAAATGAATGCCAGGAGGGGAGCACACCTGATGCCTGCTTTCCCACCTGGCTTAGGGGCAGTGAAGTCCTGGCAGAGACAATTTGATGGCTTTATAGGGAAGCTGTTTGGAGATGCGTTTGGTCAGGTGGAAAAAACCCTCCTGAGACGACCAGCAAGTTTTTCATCCAAGACCTACCTAGCAGCAACGCATCAGTATGGCTGGTTGTCGCCTCTTCCATCCTGGCCCAGGGAGGCCCCAGTTTAACAGGAACACCCTGCCTTGTTTGCCTTTGGCTCCCCCAGTTGAGCAGAAAGGGAGCCAGGGCTCTCTTATCTGGGTTCAGCCCTCTTGGGGTTCCTCGGTGTGTGTGTGTTGGGGGAACGTCTTGAGATTTGTCGTGGAACCCTTACTGGCAACCCCGCTCCCCCCTCTCCCTTTCGGCTGCCTCCCCAGGCTTGCTCCTCAGAGTAGCTCCTCACATGAGCCAGGATGGTGCCCCCTGCCCTCTTCAGCCTGGGCACACAGAGCCCCTGCCAGAAGGGGCGGCACCTTGGGAGGGGGGGGTGGAGGTTAATTCCCGTGGGCTGACAACCGTGAGTTACGCTCCAGCGAGGAGGCTGTTGTTACTGTCTGGATTAAGAGGTCCGGCATTCCTGACCACCGCACACTCAAGTGCAGGAAGTAGGGGCGGCCCCATCTCCTTACCATCTTCTGCCAACTGAAAGCCATGCATCCAGTCCTCATGGTCTAAATCTCTGAAGCTCTCAAGGCTGAGCCCATAGTCATCGGCATAAAGCTTACCCTCCAGCCCGGCATCCATAAAGCTGAGGTGGGTGCGGCATGAAGTGGTGAGAAAGTCAGACAACCTACCGGTCTGGATCCTGCAGGAGCCAAAGCAGAGGGAGAGGGACAGGTGGGAAGAGTCCCCATGCCAGAGGGGGCAACATCCCCTCCTCCGAGGGAGCCCCCTTGAGCTCATCACCTCAAATGTCCCATAAGTACTCCTGTACCAGGTGGGGAGCCAGAGCTGCCCCAGGAGGAAATGGCACCTCCGCTTACCTTGCCCCTCCAAAATACCCATCCTGCAACTTCCGCAGCGTAGCCAGGATAGCTGGGTGGAGGTTGGTGCCCGTTTCGTCTTTTCAAAAGGGAAAAAGCAGCCTGGGGTTGGTGACTCTTCAGAGGAAGGCCAGGCAAACTGTGCCCGGCCAGGCTTGCCACCCCTCCCCCTTTGGAAGCCCAGCCCTCCACCACGCAGGCAACGCACCCAGCATAGTCTGGGAGATGGGGAAGGTGATGGTGGGGCGCCCCGTCATGCCCCAACGGCTGCACAGGTAGGAAAGGTCTGTCCGCAGCATCTCCACAATCATCCGGTTGTCCAGAGCCAGGTAGAACTGCTGCCGGTCGATGAACTGCAGACGGGCAGGATGGATGATGCCAATGAGAGGAGAACACAGGCGGGGGGGGGGGGGGGGAGGTTCCCAAGGAGAAGGGCAGTGCACCGCTGGGGGCGGGGAGAAAGCCCCTCCCCTCAATCAGCAGGGGTTCATATACAAGAGCTGCTGGGGCTTAAAGGGAGGGGGGCTGGGGGGATCTGGCTGTGCTCCAGGAGAAAAGGGAGGAACTGCCAGGTTCTTCAGCTAGCCCCACCTGACAATACAAGCAACCTCCCCATACATCAGTAAGGTTCTCCAATGCCCTGGAGGCAGCTTCCTGCTGAGGTTGGTTGCTGCCCCCCCCAAGGAGCATGGCCTTGCCCTCTCCCCTCACCAACCTCAGGGGTGAAAGCAAAGATGTTGTCCCGGATGTCGTAGAACTTGGAAGTTGCAAGTACCCCCATGTGTCGGAGGGGGCGCCCACTGAGGCCCAGGCGCTTGTTGCGGCCTGCCAAGAGAAGGGACAGCTGGCTCAGCGGCAGAAGCAGCCTTGCCCCACCCCCCTTTCATCCTGCAGGGCCAGTTACACCTGCAGCTGGTCAAGAGTCTCCATCCACCTGGAGGCAGAATAGAGCAAGAGGCTGTTGGGGCAAGGTGCCAGCTGGTGGTCAATCATGGAAGACCCTGAACCCCCCCCCCACTGCCCCAACCACCACCAGCAAGACTCTGGGGAGAGTGGGGGGGAAGGGGTCTCTCAAATCTTCTGTTGGGCTCACCCAGGCGGGCGTAGATATAGCTGAGGATCCTGGCTGGCTGAATTCGGATGGGGTGGACTTCGGCCACTGTCTCCACCAGAATGCCCTCCTTGCTCAGGATGGCCTGGATGGCCTCTGTCTCTGCCAGGAGGCACACTAGCCAGGAGAAAGGAAGGTGGGGTCAGGGCATACCTGCAGGCTTGGAGGGGCCCTGCCCAGAGGCCCTGGCAGTTGGCAGGAGGGGCAGGCTGGCTGCCCAGGCCAGGCGAGGGGGGCTTGCCCAGATCACCCAGGGCCCCTCCAGAGCAACCACCTTCCACACCCGCCTCCATTTTGCAGGAAATCCACACTGGCACCCAGGCTTCCTCTCACCCTGCACCACCACCACCGGCTTGGGAATGGTCGAAAACCGGCGGTTCAGAGGGTCAATTTCTCCCGGAGCCAGGAACCCCTGCGGGGAGAGACATGGAGCTGGATTATGGCAAGGGCTCAGTTGTCCCCCCACCAGGCTCTACCAGGTCTCTTTGGGAAGGCCACCCACAAAATCCAGAGGAAAACCCTGTTTCTGCTAGTGGGTGGACAGAGGTATACTGCTCCTGAGGGCGGAGGTTTCATTGCACTAACGGGTTTCCGTTGCACCGAGAAAGCCTCGCTGGGCTACCTGATGTTGTTCTGGGGAGGCCTAGAGAAGCCAGCTGCAAAGTGTGTAGAGCAAACCTATACAAGCCCCCCTTGGGTGATCAGGTCCCTGGTCTAAGCTGGCATCCGGGGAAGCTACAAGCTGGCTGCTTTGTGCTGAGCTAGGCCTGGGGAGGGGGGCGTGGAGATTCTCTTTGCCACCCACCAAGAGCTTCAGGCGACGCCAAGGCAAGGATGGGGCTGAAGCTCACCTCTGCCATGAGGCAGCCCAGGATGTAGAGGGACTGGGCCCACATCAGTGGCAGCTTGCCCACGGGTAGGCGATCCACGGTGTGTGGGTGGCTGTATTCCTCCTCAACCTATCAGGACAGACCAAGAAAGACAGATTGGAGAAGCAGAAGGCGGCCAGGAGCTGCAGATTAGTTACACCTGCATGGCCGAATCCACACCCTTAAGGAAACACAAAAGCCAGGGAATGCACAGGTGCTCAGGGATTGACTGAAAATCTATCACAGAAGCTTCCAGTTTAGATGCTTTCAAAGAAGGGCCCACTTCAAATATGTTAAGACAGTTTTGTCTGTTAATTTGCATCCAGAAAAAAAAATGGGCCTGGAAGATGTAAACGTATCCGCTAAACACTAGTCCTGGTTGGGCCCTGGATGCTTGACCATCTCGCCTCCACAGGAGTCGCCAGAGGCAGGCAGGCAGGCATCTCTTCTGGGGGGGGGCTCCTTTTTCCCTGCTTGCTGACCTTCTCCAGGGGGACGCAGTAGAGCTCTGGTACCAGCCGCACCCCATTCTTCCCCTTGATCAGGACCCCTTCAAGAGCTTCGCGGTACTCCTGCACCTGGAAAGAGGTGCGGGGGCTGTCAGGCGTGGGGGCTGGGTTCACAAAGGCCCAGGCTGGCATGGGTCCTGCTCTCCTGGCCAGCCCCCCTCCAGCCCAGCGCTCTGCCTGGCTCCACCTGCTCCACATTGCCGCTGAAGAGGCCATCGATGATCAGGTAGGTCCAGAAAAGCGGCCACTCGCACTCTATGTTCTCAAAGAGCTTTAGCTCTGCAGGCTCGTAGTAGAGGCGCTGGGGATCCTGCGAGGGAGGGCAGGAGGGCGATCAGTGGAAGCGGATGGGAGCAGCATCTCGCTTCCTTTCTCCAAGGCAACTGGGCAGAACAGCACAGTGGCAGAGGAGCCTCCGCTCAAGAAGCTGCAGAGCGCACAACCCACTTTCCAAATATTGACCCATCTTGCTGCTTTTTAAAAAAACAACATATGTCTGATCCCAGAACAAACCACATTTCTCCTTGCAATAACATGTTGCCAACTGCTCAATAAAGCGCAGGTCAACTTCCGCCCACCCTGTTCCGCCCTGACATGCAATGGCTTCACTTCTGTTGCAGGCAGCTTCCACTCTAAAAATGCAAAGGCTCCACCTGGCTGCGTGTGGGGCCCGGCCTTTGCCAAGCAGCGTCCTGCAACCGACTGCCCGGGAGACTCTGATCCAGGCAAGGCCTCTTGGGGCCTGGAACTGGCACACTGGAGCTTACCTCCTTGGGGGTTCTGTAGCCATCGCGGAGGAACCGGCAACAACCGTAACGGCCCTGAGAGAAAGAGGGACACGTCAAGCCCATGGTGACCCGAAGGAGCAGCAACTCGACCGGCAGCACCGCAGCCTGGCCACCAAGGGCCGAAGCGCTTGCCTGCAGCTTGGCAATGATCTCCTCCTTGGTCTTCTCCACCACGTCCGTGTCCTCCACCGCAAACGCCGGGTAAGAAATGACCGAGAGGAGGCTGGCATCAATCTCCTTGGAAGTGGAGGCCCTCGGCAGCATGGAGTGCAGAATTGACTGCCGAGACAAAACCAAAAGACACTGTGCAAGGCAGGCCGGCAGGTTGCAGCCCTCCAGGCAACTGGCAGTGCCCAGGTGCTCCGGGTGCAACACAGGACACGTCCCAGTGCAGAGGTAGACTGGGGGCCTGGCAGGCGGACCGTCCGCTGCGCCAGGCAGTGGCCAGAGGCCCTGTGAAGTGGGAGCCTCTGCCAATCTCAGCTGCCTTCGACCCCTCCCTCTGCTCCCCTCAATCCAAGGCCTCATCCTGCCCCTCACCTGGCAATGCTGCACCTCGTCTGGCAAGACGTGGATCACCGACTGGGGACCCCCCTTGGCGCCAAAGAGGTCGAGTTCGTCCAAGGCCTCCAGCGCTGCCTGAGAAGCATTTGGAGACAATGTACAGCTGGCCAACTGGGCACAGTCCCTGTTTACAGATCCTGAAATTTCTGGCATGCCGAAAGATTTAGGGAAAGGGGTGCCAGTCGAGTTGCTAAAAGAATCGCCTCCCGGCAGAAGCACTGGGATCAAATGCTCCTGCCCTGGGAGTCCTGCAGCTCCCTAAAATTGGGAACAGCTTTGGGGACAACCAGCTTTTGGGGAATCTGCCCTTCAGCTGCTGGGCCATGAGAAGCCTAATGGGCATGCTGCCTGTTGCTCCACAATGGGCTTGAGCCCCTCCAGCAGCCCAGGGCTCCCCTCACCTTTGCCATGCCCACCGAGCTGGCATTCAGTTCCGTAATTCCTTGGTTTGTCTTGTCGCCACGTTCCCATATCCCAAAGTCCTGCCAAACAACATGGATGTGTTGATGATGCTGGAAGACACGGAAGGCTCTGGCTCTTGGCGGTGAGGTCCAGAGCTTTCAACTGCCAAGCCAGGCACCAGAGGAAAGCAGCCCGGCAGAGGCCAAGCTGGTCTGCCCAAAGTGGGTGCCCCGCCTGGCTTGGATTCCTCCCCCCCTTTCCCTGGGAAAGTGGCTGTGCCTTTTCAGCCGGATAGCAGCTTTCCTCCAGTTTCCTCTGCTGGATCCCAGCTGGCTGAAGTGAGGCCCCTGGACTTCGAATACCCAAAGGTTCTTGCCAATTAACGCCGTTCCTCACTAGGCTTGCCCCTGGAAGCCCGGCTGCCCACAGCTCCCCCACCCCCTCGGCTCCCCAGAGCACCAGGCCGTGCACCGCTCACCGCAGTCTTGTAGGCAGCCTCGATGTAGAAGACGAGATTTTGGACAAAGCTGACTTCATCGAGGCTGTGGATGATGTGAAGCCCTGGAAGAGAGAAGATGCGAGGCACAGCCAGGGGGGCCTCCCTCCCAGGGGCTCTGCCTCCCGTCTCCGAGCCCCTCCCTGCCCTGAAGAGCTGATCGCAGGAGGTCTTACCGGAGGCCGTCATCTGGGCCAGCATTAGCAGATAGAGGGAAGTGGCGTCCAGCTGCAGGTGGCCCCACTGGTCGTCCCCCACCACAGTGGCACAGCTGCGGGTGTTGTACTTGGCGTGCAGGCAGTCCTTGGGGCTCTGGCTGTACTTGAAGTCCTCCACTTTGTCCACCTGGGCAAAGAGCACGTGGCCAAGAGGAGTTGGCTGTGCTGGCCTTTGGCCTCAGCAAGTGGCCTGGCAACCCAGTCTGCAGAGGGCCAGGAATGAGCCTGGCCGAAGCCGTAGGAGCCCGTCTTTGCCAGGGGCCAGAGTGGCACAGCCCTGCCAGCTGTGCTGCCCTTCAGGAGCCCTACCTGCCGCACCATGCACTGCAGGAGGCCCCTCATCAGCTTCACCACGCTCTGCAAGAGGAGGAAAGGGGAGAGCACTGCTCGGAGGGCGGCCAAAGAGGCGAGGTGACCTTTCTGAGGTCCAGCTTGTAACCAGAGCCAGCTCATCTGCTGCAGCCTGTTCTTTGCTTGCTGATGCAGCCTGGCTGTCGACACCCAGGGTCTGTACGGGCAACCCATCCCCCTCCCCCCCACTTGTCTTGCCCTCATAAACAGAAGCCTCCGAAGGGCAAGGCAGCTGAGACGGTGGAGGGACACTTGGACTGGCACTCGGGTTCACTGGGCCGACTCCAGCCAGCTGCTCACTGACCCCCCGGCCCCCAGGGTGGGTGAGGAACAGGGACAGACTCGGTGTTGCAGAGCAGCTGCCTCCACCCCAGGCCCAGGTGAGGACCAGTGGGTAGCCCTGGCCCCAAGATCCGGTGTTAAAAGCCTGACCTTTACAGGCAGGAGATAAGATTACTGGGGTCACTGCAGGCCATTCCTGGTGCCAGGATTCCCTCTTTCTAGCAGTTCAGGCAGGCCCACTTGCTCCCGGGAAGCTGTTTTGGTGGAGAGACCCTTCCCCTTCTGCACGACTCCCGGGGGCCACAGGGCAGTGCTGCAGCTCTTGCCCCCCAAGAAAGGGAGCGTCTATCGCCCAAACCTCACCAGTTTAAGCCGTCCTCACATGGAAACATGTGAGATACGCAGCTCGCTTACTCAGCCCCAAGGTGGAAGAAACATAACAGGTGCTGATAAAGCAAAATCCCACCAGCTCCTTTCCAACCTATCCACAAGAGGGGGCTGGGGGTTGGCTGGGAGCTGTTCTAGATCGGTCGGTGACCGAGGAGGAGGAGGAGGAGGAGGAGGAGGGCTTTGCCACACAGCCCCCCCCCTCTCACAGCTGTACCTGCTCCAGCTCGTACGCTTTCGCCTTGTCCTCGTCGCGGTCAGCGTTCTTCCGGTAGGCCAGCCCCAGTCCCCACACAGCCAGGATGCTGTAGACATTATCTCGGACCCAGGCATCTGGGTGGTCGCAGCTGGCAGGAAGCAACCCTGTAACAGGATTCTGGGGCCAAAAGCGGGGCGCGGTGGAGGGGAGAGAAGGGCAGACTGCTTAAAAAGAAAGTCTTGGAGGACTAGAGACCAGCACAAGTGGTTGCAATTAAAGCCTGTTGACCAGTTTCTGACCTCCCATCTCCTATGGATGTCTGGGTCCTTGTGATCCTGCAGCCATGGTCAGATCCACAGCACATTTGGTGAGCAAGACAGATCACAGTTGCCTAGAAGATGCCCTTGATTTTGACCCTGCAGACCAAGGAGCCACCGGGACCCTCCTTCAGAGGCTGCTGACCAAGCAAGCCTCCTCAGGACGACCCCAGCAGAGGCAGCCCCAGAAGTTGCTCAGGCCAACATCTAGAGAGCCATCAACAAATGGGGAGGGGGGAGATTCTGGGCCCGCTGGAGCTTGCTCAAAGTTGCCCCACCCTTTCAAATGCTTTCACCCTTTTCACAGATTCTGCCAAGAGACTCAGCTTGCAAATGACCACTTCATTGGACTTCCCAGACCTTTGCAAGGTAGGAGTTCAGCCCACTGACCGGTGATGGCTGCTGAAAACACTCAGCCGGGATCCTTGTTGGCTTCCTTCCTTCCCCCCAGTGGGCTCTGCCACCTGCTGCCCCAGCGTCTGAATGTACAGCTCTCCTGGCTGGCAACAGCCTTAAGGCATCACTTCTGGGCTTACTCTGCCAGCCTCCCTTCCCTTGCAATGTGGGGAGCAGGGAAGCCTGGCACTGCTTCAGTCCTGCCCATTCATGAGATGAGAAGAGTCTCTGGACCCTTTTCCTCCTTTGGGAAAGCAGGCCTGAAGAGACCCCTCCCCAATGGGTACCCTTACCTCAGACTCTGCAACAGATTAATATAGAGACATAATCACCTGGCACTTAACATCATCCAACTATGGCACAATGAAAACCTGGCTGTAAGAAGCAAAACCCTTGGCAAAAGGCCAAACAGGGAGGGAATTATCAGAAAGCCCTCCGATCTCCAAGGCTTCCTGGCAGACTCTACTGGTCTCACAAGGGCTGTTCTGAGAGGAGAGGCCACTGCTGAAAAAGTGCTTCGTCCCCCTCTGCAGCCCCTCTGCAGCCCCTCCCCGCCTGTCCTAGAGGCACACAGGGGCGGTAAAGTCTATGGGGGCAGGTGCTTCTGGGGACCAGGCCTGCCTTCATAATTCCTGCAACTGCTCCTTCACCTTCCGGTAGCCCCTTAACCTAGCAAACGAAAGTATGTGCAGGGGGGCGCTTTACAGGACGCATTGGGGGGGCAGGGGGAGTCGAGGACAGGTGCTCCCAGGTACAGCTCCCAGGTACATTCTTCAGCAGGTCTGGATCTGCTCCATGGGAGAGAAGAGGGTCCCGGACACCGGTTGCCACCTCTGTGCCCTGTGACTAGGAGCCACGTGAGCCTTCTCTGGTTGTGCGGAGTCCCAGTTCCCATCGGCCCAGTCCACGCAGCCCGTCTGAGCAGCTGAGAGCAACTTTGGGCTCGCTCTGGGAGCGTCTCCACGCAGCGCTTTGGAGGCCGGGAATCCCGCACCCCCTTGGACCCCCAGGGAGCTGAAAAGCCCGGCTGGCAGAGACCGAAACGCCGTGAGGCAGCGGGGGGGGGGAGGCTGGCTGCCGGAGGGGCCCGGTGAGGTCTGCCCGTTCACTCGCTCGCTCGCTCGCTGCCACTGAGGGCTCACCTGGTGCCCGAGGATGGTCTGTTGCACCAAACGGGCGTAGCCATCCAGCCGCACCCCGGAGTTGCTCCTGCTCCGCATGGCTGCGCTCCTTGACCCCGCCGAGGCTGCCTCTCCGGAGCCCAGAGCTCCGCTGCTCGCCCGGCACGGCCTGCCCCGCCCAGTTCCCGCCCCGCTGCCGGCCGGCAGCAGCTGCGCCCCCTCCTCCTTCCTGGCACCTGCTGGAGTGAGGGGGACGGGTCGTCAGCTGGAAGCCCCCCCCCCCACACACACACAGCGGAGAAAGGGTTAACTGCCTCTCCCGGGCAGTCCTGGAAGCCCCGTAGCCAGCAGATTTCGCGTTCCCGCTCGCTTTGGGGGCGGAGGAAGACGGCCCCTCGCCCAAAGAGTACAAAGAGGAGCCCCTGGTGCGGCGAAGACCTGTTTCCAGCGTCTTGTGGGGCGGCCTGCCGCGGGACCGCGAGGACTAGCGCCCTGCCAGGACCCGCCGCCGTTTCCAGTGCTCTGTCGGAAGTTTACTTCTTGGGGGCCGGCGGGGAGGAGGAGCGCGCCGCCTGCTGCTGAGAGCGGGAGCTGCACTTTTCCTCGCAAAGGAGATTGGCGCTTGTTTCGCTTCCGAGTTGGTTGGCGACGATCTTCCCCTCTTTCACGGCTGGCGAACTTTAAAGGCGACGGAGGGAGGCGAGGCCAGAGATTAAGAGCGGGATGGTCGGCAGGTTACCTCTAGGCGAGGAGTTTAGCTGAACTGAGAGGAGGACGCCAGTGTCTTGGCAGAAAGCTAGGAGTCGGGACAGGATGGGTTTTCAACTTTTTCTTCCTGTTCCCTTTCCCACGTGTTTTTGGTCACACTGGGGTCCACATGAGGTCATTGGAGAGGCAATTTGTGATATTGGTATTTATTTCCATTTCAGAGCTCAGGGAGAGATTAAATGTGGGGCTAATGAACTTTTTGGCAGTGCTCATTTTCAAAATCCTGCCCTTGTTGTGCAACGTGAGCCATGGAATATAGCAATGGCAAAATCGGACTCCACTGATGTGATAAGCTGGGTGTGAGGCAGGAGGAGGAAGAGCCCCTGGACCTCAGTTCCCCTCCTATGACACAGCAAGCCCTCCTACCCCTCCGATGCCATATCTGCCTGTTGTTTTCCTGACAAGAAAAACCCTTCCACAAGTCATAAAAAGGCCAAGTTTGAAGACCCCTGCTTTGGGGGGTGGGGGTGGAGAAGTTGTTGTTTTGTAACTACATGATATGTTCATAATCTACCACTATTCCACTTTTTTCACAAGTAGTTTTACTCAGACAGGTATCCTTACCCTATGGGTACCTTTCTTTTCTTACCTGAAAAGCTTTGCAATGATTTCCCTCGTTTTTAGCCCACCTCTGTAACATTGTTTTGAAATTTATTTCTGACACTAAAGTGTTAGGGTTTTCTCCAGTTTGTGCCATCTGAAAAATTGATAGGCAACACGTTGTTCCTCAGATGTTCTTGCTGATAGTCTGTGCTTTAGTACAGGAACATTTCAGCCTTCACTTCCTTCTGTCATAAACCATTATGTGCTTAATGGGGGAAATAGCGAATGGCTCACATTCTGCAGCCATAGGGCAGCCTGGCTCTCTGGGGAAGCAAAGACCAAGAGAACGGCCGAGAGGCCTGAACTCCTGGGAGGTTGTCCATCATGCCCATTCCAGCTGGGACTGCAAAGTAGATTGCCAGTCTTGGGGAGATGGAATTTCTCCCCAATTACACCCAGCTGCCAGTTGGAAACATGCTGGGCAGGCTTGTTGTTACCCTTTTGCACTGAATCCTGCTTTGCCCTGTGGTGCTCCAGATCAGCCCTATTAGGAAGAGAGGAACAGCAGCTGGTGGCAAGTGCTCGGGCTACCTGGGTGGCCGCAGAGAAATACCTACAGCCACGAGTTGGGGAATGGCTGATTCTGTTCTGCAGATGTGACAATTGTCTTGTGTGGGAGCTGAATTGTGGGTCAGATGGGCCAGCCTGGGCTCCTCCCCCTTCCCTTGTCCAGTTTTTCCTTCTTCCCCAAATCAGAGACTGCATTCATCTTTAGCAAAACAGAAACTAGATTTATTGCATAATTTCATTTAAATACACCATTTAATAAATAGAAAGTTTTCCCAAGTTATGGCAGTTTTTTCAGGCCAGGTAGGCGACAGGTGCAAACAAATAAGGGTGAAGAGAAAGACGACCAGTGACAGGCCACAGAAGCACAGGGAGGGCCAGGGGAGGGGGAGGCCTGCTCCATTGTCCAGTGCATGACAAGGTCAAAACCAAGTCAGGAGCTCCCTCCTGCCCAAACTCCACTAAGCCCAGGACAGGAGGGGATAGCTCCCAGGGAAGGCCCAGCCAACTAAGCCCCCACCAGCCATCTCTCCTGGGCAGGGCAGGATGCGTAAGCCCCCAACCACTCCTAAACACTCTTCTCCCTTGGTTTAAAAGACAAGCTCCCTCCCCTTTGCTTCCAGAACAGCCTTCTCAGGAAGCAGAGCACCTCCAGGGGGCTCTCCCCCCCCCAAAGAATTCAGTGCTTGACATCTCCCAGGGTTGCAGATGGGCGTGAGGGTGCCTTTATTTGCAGAGTGGGAGGTAGTAGCAGCAGAGCAAAGAACTGGCCACAGAGCAGCGCCCCTCAAGCAGCAGGAACAGAAAAGGGGGTTTTGAGTAATCCAGAGACCACATAGCTCTTGCTGGGGGAGGGGACACTGGCTGGGGAGGGGGGGAAAGAGGGCCTCTGGATGGGAGGGAGAAACCTGTGGCTGCTGCTCCTGCACATCCATTTTTTGCAGGCTGGACTGCAGGACACAGCCACCCTGCTGGGCCAAAAGGGGCAGTGACCCCCAGCATCAAGATGTGCAGGCAGGCCGTGAGACAAGCGCTGGTGAGGGGAACCGGAGGGGCCCTTCCTGCCTCAGCGTGACCGTGCCGGCTATACTTCCTTCAACTGTTCTCTATCAAGTTCTGGCAGGGTGAAATCATTCCAGGAGTACCTGCATACTTTTTCTGGTAAAAAGGAGGAGGAGAATTTGCCAATCTGTGCATAAAAATCCTTTCGTAAAACAGCCCAACCAAGGTGCTAGTCCTCTGTGACCCTGGGAAAGGAGGGTCTTGGATCCAAGTGAAAAGTTGCCAAATGCCTTAAAATCTGGATTCTCTCTGTGAGGCAGTGGGTGGGAGCGAACGGAGGCCCAGGGAAGGAGGCAGCCCACAGAGCTCATTGCCAGAGACGAGGCTGCTCATCGGCAGGTGCAGGACTTGGCGATCATGTCCTCATACACCTTGAACAGGATGTTGTTATTCTGCTCAATCATGAGGACGCCCATGGAGCTGTACTCGTGGGGAATGCAGGAAGGGCGAGGCATGTTTGGGTCCACAAATTCGTTGATCAGGTTCTGGACGATGGCATGGTTGGGAGAGTTGTAGCCGTAGCGTAGGACCCGCGGGCAGGTTCCCTTGCAGTACTGAGGCCGGTACGAGTGGGGGGCGATGATCCAGTGGTCCCAGCCCAGCTGGCGAAAGGTCACACGGAGGGGGTGGAGGGCGCACTCGTTTGGCCTGGCCCTGGGGCGGCGGCGGCGGCCATAGCGGGGCAGGTCCAGGTTCAGTTTCTCAGCCCGGCGCACCCTGCGGATACGGGTAGAGCTTTGGGGGAGCTCCCCGCCCACAGAAGCCCTGAAGGGTCTCCAAGTGTCCTTGAGGTAGAGCAGCAAGAAGGGATCCTCCAGGGAGGGGGGGTGCCCCCCACCAGGTCCACGGGGAGAGCTCCAGGCCCGCTCCAGGAAGGAGCAGGCATGATGCAGGCGGAGCAGGTGGCTATTCTGGGCAGCCCAGGACCATGGCTGGAGGTGCCAGGAGAGGTCCAGCTCCACCCAGCTGTCCGCAGCCGACGTGGCGGTGGCATTCTTCAGCAGAGTCGGGCTGACTGCCACCTGCGGCAGGGCGCTTCCACCAGGGAGCGGGCTGGCTGTGCACCAGAGGGGGCCGTGAGGTGAGGATGGACGTTGAACGTAGACAGCAACAGCTCTGATCAGGCGCTGGGCTGGCGCTTGCACTTCCAGGCGGTAGTCAAGGGCCCAGATGAACCAGGGGCCTGCTGGTACAAAGAAGGGGTCAGAAGGGGAGCAGGAGAAGCTGCATGGCCCAAGAGCCATCCTTAGGCCCCCACAGGGGCCCCAGCCTTCCTAAAGAAGAGCCCCTGCCTCTTCTTCTGTGATGCCGTTAGTCCATCTCCCCAGTTGGGGTGGGCTGCATGCCACTTTTGGGGCATTCACAATAAATGGGAGAAGCTGCTTTCTCCCCAGGACCTGTGAGCAAAGCACCCCCTCTCCCCCCCCGCCAATTCTGAAAGGCCTTTAAGAGGCTGGCAGCCCTCAGCCTGGGGGAGGCAGAGCTTTTGGAATAAGGACTCTGTAAAAGTGCCCCATTCCAAAATATCCCGTCACTATGCTGTGCAAGACGTGCGGCTCATTCCGCACATGCAAAAGAAGTTCATGGAATGCCTGGCTCAAGGAAAGCTTCCCGCTTAGAGTCAGTTGGTAATCCGGGCCATAAACTGGCAGTCTGAGCTGCAGGCTAGCAACTTCCCTGCTGTCTGGGCAGCCGTTCCACCCCGTCCAGAGGAGCTGCAGGCTGGGGCTCCTCTGGCCAGTTGCCTGCTCCAGAGAGAGCTGAAAGACAGCACGCGGCCCTCTGGCCTCGGCCAGGACCCGCCGGCTGCCACGCCCTTTGACAGGTCAGCAACGTCGAGCAGGCGCTGAGCCCCAGCTCCGGCAGCCCCGAAGGGAGTCCCGGCCCCAGCTCACCTGCCTCCGCCTGGCGGGCCTTGGCCGACGGTCGGACCAGGCGGATCGTGTTGCTGGAGAGGCGCCCGTCCCTGCGGGGGCGGCCGTGCCGGTCCGCCACGCTCCGGTAGAGGTTCCGCATGTAGCGCAGGGGCTGCCCCCCGTTGGCTCGCCTCCGGCTCCGACCGGGGAGCCAGGATCTGGGGGGCGCCTGGCTCAGGAGCATTTGGATCAGCGGCAGGGAAGAGGCTGCGGAGGCGGCGAAGACGGTCGGCGCCTCTGAATCTAGCGCCTCCCTTCCGCCTTCCCAAGGTAGCGCCAGGGGGAAGAGCAGGGCCAGGAGGAAAGCACTCCACGGCCTCAGCACCCCCATGGTGGTCCTCCGGCGGCGCTGGGCTCCGGGGTCACAAGGCAGGAGCCGGGGAGCCCAACGGGAGCATCGTCTCCCGGGGGAAAAGCAGGGATGCGGGTGAGCCTCACCCCCCCAGTCCCATGTTAGGCTCCCCGAGCAGCCACAGCCAGGCCAGGGGGCGGGGGAGCCGGAGCGGCTTCACGGGCCCAGAGAGCTGCACCAGGCCCGGGGCAGCTCCCTCCACCCGGAGACTCGCAGCAGGCCGGGAAGCGCCGGTTCCGGCTGCCAGACGCGCCCCCACCGCCCCGTGCTGCTGGGTAAGAAACAGCACGCCGCCGGCTCCGTTTAAAGGCGGGCCTCGCTCCACCTTAAAGGGCCGGGGGCTCCTGCTTGCAGGCTGGAGGGAGCCAGGTGGGCGAGGCGCCCGGGGCTCAGCCCGCTCCTTCAGAGAAGGCATTTCCTTTAGAGAACAATGCAGGGCGTTGTGGCCACGGAAGGCGCTGCCGCGGCCGTCCTACGTCAGAGCTGTCTTTGGAAAGGCAGGCCTTGCAGGGTGGTTGCATAGCTGCTTATCTTAGGGGCCGCACAGCAGCCTTACTCTCGCCTCATGACCAGACCAGGAATGCGAAGTTACGTTCAGCTGCCTTTGCGTAAAAACTCTTGGCCACGCCCACCGGGAACTCTGGGATTTGGAGTCCAGGCACATCTGGAAAGCACCGCGTTGCTTGAGCTGTTTCCTGCTCCCCCTTGTGGCGGACATTTGTGATGACATCCGATCAGCTCAAAGCAATGCCTTCGGCACGCTTGACCCACAAAAGAATGGGCTTCCTTTGCTGGTGTTTGCTCTCCGTTCATGGGGCACAATCCTGTCTTTGCACAGCTCAACTACAGTTGAGGCCAACAGCTCTGAAGGCCTTGCGGGAATCAGCAGATGCAGGAAAACGGCCTGGACTTGCATGCAGGCTCAACTGCGGGGAATCTCTGCCCTTCTTACATGCGGCCAGTCTCCCGGGCTTCTATTTATCTTAGTTATTGGAAAAATAGGAAAAATGATTTTGTGTTAACCTGCCTCTTCCTCTCCATCCTTTCCCGCTTCTGCAACTTCAGCTAAGCACACTTTGATCCCCCAAACACAATGCTGAAAAAGTTCAGCTTTTATCATTTTGTGAAAAGTATTTCTACTGGCTTGGTGAACGTGGCACTTTTGTGTGTTTTGTGTATATAAACCTGAGTGAAGTGGCGCCCTTCCATGACTTGTTTTCAGCTTCTACAAGGTGATTTAAAAACTATCCTGTACAAACTATTGACAATGATAATTTGTTATTTATTTAGGCCTTTATATCCTTCAAGGGTATAAAGTCAAAGTTATAATAAAAAATCCTAGCCAAATGCATTGAGCAAAAAACATAACAGCAGGGCAGAATAAACACCGGGGGAGGGGAGGACCTACTAGGGTAAAAGCATTGGCAGAAGGGATCGAAGAATGCCCCATTTCAGGGCCTTTGGGAGCCACCGTCTCTCCTCTCTTTTGACCCTGCAAGGCAGACTGGAGCTGCCCCCCCCAGGCTCCAGTGGCACGGCCCCTCCCGCCCACCTCCACTCCTGGCACCAGCATTGCATTCCTGGGCAGGGAATGTCTTTCCGCCTTTGGGCTGGACCCAAAATCTGAGGGGGGGGGAGGCTGAGCCAGCAATTAGAGAGCCTCCGTTCCTGACTGGGTCCAGAGCTTGGGAATTGGTCTTCCCCAGCAGCCCAGAACTGGCTTCTTTCAGGGGTAGCAAAGCCTGCTCCCCTCTTTCTCCAAGTGCCTCTCCTCCCACTTGAGGCTGCCAGATGCAGCAGAGGCCCCTAAGCTGATCCTTGGGCTACTGGAGGTCGGGCCTGAGGCTCCCCAGGGGTCTGGGCAGGACCATTGCTGCTTCTGGGGCATCAGCTTTGTTTCCAAAGGGTCTCCAAGGGGAAACCTGAAAGTCAGACAGTCGAGGTCCAGCCAGGATTCACCTGGGAAGTAATCGCCTTGACTATGGCGTAGCCTTGGGGAGGCTCTGAAGAGCCCTGGGTCAAAGCAGCAAGGACACTTGGGCGAGGGCTGCTCAGAGAAAGGACTCAAGGCAGGGGGAGCGGAGGCACCCCGGCAGATGAGGGCAGCCAAGGGGATTCGGCAGCCAGAAGCAGCTCATCAGACCTGCTGGGGCAGCAGCAGGTGATTTCTTCCCCACTGCTGAATCTCTGGATGCCAGAGGGACTCCAAAGTCCAGTGTTCTGGGCTTTCCAGTCATTTTGTAAACTTCCTGTTTTTTAACCTAAGGCACGTCCTTGCCAATTTGCCAATGGGTTCTGCAAGGAGGGAGAATTTTTGGTGCTCAGCCAGGCTCCTTCCCAGCACAAACAATCCAGGAACTTGCTCTCAAGTATGTGTCTAATCCTCTTCTGTATATAAAGACGTACTTTATGCCTCTTATGTAGGCATGAAATCAATTACATGCCTGAAAAACATTCCAGATGTCCACTCCAGGGTTCTCCATAGATCAGCTGAGAAATGCTCAATAGTTGCAGCCCACAAAGTCTTTGGGAACCCTAAAGATCAGCCCAAATAGATCACAGCAGAACTTGGCAAAATTACTGGTTTTGGCAAGATTTCTTCCCTCAGTCCCTTGGGCTTTTGACCACGGCCCTCAGCTCAGGCTGACCTTCCCCAGGCCACCCAATGCCCGGGATGAGCTCTCCAAAGGAGCAGCCAGCCTGAGGAAGGGTCCTCTGCCGGGCAGGGTCTCATAGGGCAATCCTGCAGCTCTCCTGAAAGCAGGCTAGACTAGCTCTGGGTCTCGCACACACCCCTCCCGTGTCTGCGTAACCCCTTTCTAAT